ACTAACTGCATGTATCGCTGGTGCCAAATCGTGTATGCCAATCTCTACTCCACTTGCCATATTTACCCCTTTTATTTGTCGAATCATAGGGTCTCCCAGTCAAAAATTTGCAGCTTGACTCGAATGCCTCTTCTGTCTTAGGACAACCCGGGGATATTCCGGCAGTGACGACAGCTGTCGTAGTCGACCCTGTATGCTACCATAGAGATATTTTGCTGGGCGATCATGCAAATAAACTTGGCCCCAAAACACACAAGGCAACTCAGGATCTTACGGGGATAGGGTCTACATCTGGGCTTAGGGCTGGTTGTGTTGAAACTGACCTAAGTTCAGGTAAACCAGAACCATCGACATTGTCACTTTCTGGGGATGGTGATGTTAGGCCATTTGAAGATATGGCAGGCGTTCGTGATGTTAACGATCATATTGGGGAGGCACTTGGGGGCGTTAGTAACAGGGATCTTTGTATAAAATCTACTGATTCTAGCGCCAGCCTACTTCCTTTGACTCTTGACCACAAACAATCTATTCAACTTCCTAAAGTGCCGCCCCCGTCACCACAGCCCAGTTCCACCTCTAATCAGCTGTGCTTCAATACCCAAGCTCCGTTTAGCCAACGTCGAATGTCTGTTCATCGTATTTTCAATGCACTCTCGAGTATGGGCCGTTCCTTTGGCCGTAAAAATAAGTACCGAGACGGAACGCGGCGCGCAGGTCGGCATGATCAGCACTCAGAACCGCGCATTAAGGGCACCAGCTCATCTTCTGCCTCGCCGACCTCTTTTTCGGAAATCATGCAGCAACAACCTACCCATCCATCTGATATCTCTTTTATAACCAAGCGGACATCGGGCACCCTTCCCGAGGACAGTGTCCTAGCAGTTACCAGAGACTCTGGTCTGAGTGGCCATGCGATTCACCCCTCCTCCGGGGCTACACTTGCTCAATTTAGTTCGCCATTGCCGAGAGATGGTACTGAGCTTACCAATAATTCGAATAACAAGGCTATACAGACCAATATTAGTATGGACATGGAGAATGCTCGGAATGAATTTGCAGTTTTGAACAAAAATCTAGGACCTGGTGAATTCATTACTCACCTGCCTGCATGCTCGAAATGTGAGGATCGCAAAGGTAATGGCAGAAGCAGCCGCAGTGACAGCTCTAGTAGCAGCTATACCGGCAGTAGTAGTAGTAATAGTACTAGTGGTAGCAGCAGCAGTGCCAGCGGGTCAACTGGTGTTTCTGGATCTCGTAGCGGTGATGAGTATCGTGGTACTACTGCTGGAAGTGCTGGTAGATCTGAGACCGAGCCTAGCGAGACTCGGGCCCCCGGATTATTGGCGCCGAGACAGAGTCGATCATCCAGTCTCGATCGACTATCGAATACCATCCAACACAACACTCCCCTTAGTCTTGATTCAGTACGTTTAAGCTGACAGCTTACTAGCTAACTAATAACTAGCATGGTCATTGCTAGTTCTTATGAAATTTATTATTGTTTGTAAGGTTTATTCTTTTCTGTTTGTTCCATTTTATTTTTTGTCTTCTATAAGAGTACCCTTATCCGACTAACCAATTTATAGTTGTACTGACTATTTATATTTATTTGAACTTAAAGTCGATACCAAACTATAGGATGAACTAAGTTTTCATGTTTTAATCCGCCATCTTATTTTTTAACTTATTTTATATAGCTTTCATCTATTCTGTTCATTGTCAAGGTTTGATGCTTTCGGCGCCCGATTTCGTTATACAACTTTTTATAAGCTTTTATAGCCCAATTCGTCATTCTTTATCAAAGGGGTTGAATATTCTTCGAACTGATTAGTTCGGAAACAAAATAAAACCAGACTAATCAAAAGTGAGAATTAATCAAAATTAATCTTCCATCTCTTTGAGCTTTTGTAGGAACTTAGGAATCGAGTTTATTCATTTCGTTGTCAGATGAGGGTCACATGAAATTCTTTTGTATGTAATGGGCTGCCAAAGGGATTCTAGAAACACTATTGTATTTCTACATTACATATTTCCACTCATCTATTTGACGTTGGTTAATAGTGTCTTGCATGCCTTTTCGTGTACCATTTATCCTAAAATTAGCCTACCTTTGTACTTATTCTATAACCAAGTGGAATAGGTTTACAGGACATTTGCCTGAATAACTCAATTGATCGCATTACTCTTCTCCTAATTTGCTTTAGATCACCTAATTTCGTGCTCTTCCCTTGGACCACTAAGTTTGCTGTATTTTTTAAAAAGCATGCCTCAATATAATCTTCCAATTTTATCTAAATATTACTGGATTTATTAGTTTTTAAGAAGCTTTTACTTGTGCCTTTCCATTTCAATGCATCTAATTATTTAGGCGATTTTTCGTTTTTTATTGGAAATTTTATATTCGTCAGGACTAGCTGGTTCTTTTTGTTATATAGTTTACAGAATCTGGGCCTATGCGTAGATCAAACTTTAATTGAGCAAGGCTTCTTAGAAAATCTTCTTGTTTTACATCGTATTCTTTAGTAGGAGAAGGATTCTAGCTCACGTCCTAAAATTTCTTAAATTAACACACAACCAATTGGTTGGCTATATCCTTGTCCATGCACCATACAGATCACTTAGTATTTAAGGTTCAGTACTGATTCTTTTGGACTGTGTGCTGAAGACTTATTCGCATCAATCTAAAATCACTTCTAAATCAATCCTCCTTCCATTTCTGACTGCTGATTTACGAATCCTTTCCAACCAGCTTTTACTTCTAAATGAAGAGTCCATAGTATGAAACTATTAGGGGATTTTAGAAACCCGACTCTTTTTCTAATTAGGAAAACATTGACATATTATATTCATTAATTATAATTGAAACCAGACTGGAAAATCTTATTCATAGCTCTTGGTTTTGGTGACTTTTCTAACTTACAAATAATTACAGACAAGTTGTATTGAGGAGTTTTTTTTAGCAGAGTAGAACCAAACACGGTAGAAAAGTTCATAAAATCGGATGCAAGTCTTAGGAAAAATCTAAATAGTTGAGGGGAACTATAGGATGGACAAGAAAGTGGTAGACTTGTCTATAACATCGCCACTTAAGAGGTTATATACAAAGTCGTAAATTTAGTCTTTCCAATCAGTAAAATTTTAAGGTAATAATAATAGTAGTAGAACTTTAGAATTCTACTTAATAGATGTG